CCCCTCCCACCAGCAGTGCGGCAGAAGAGGGCCCGCCCCCCTCACTTCCCTCCCCCATAGCAGGCCTTGTTACTCTCTTTTTCTTTCCTAATCCCATCTCCCTGTAGTGGTGTTTACCTTCCTCTGATTACCAGAAAGGGACAGCATCTTCCCCTGGGGTTACTGGCCACTTGTACTTTTTGAAAAATTGCCTCTTCCTTCCCTGGACTCCTGGGACAGTAACCTCTCTTTCCACCTCCCTGCCTCCCAGCTATAAATGTCTACCATTTCCTCTGAAATCTAGTCCCAGATCTGAAAAGAAAAAGCCATCAGAAAAGGATACCTGGAGTGAATGCAGTTTTTTTCCTTACTTACTGTTTTGTTGTTGTTGCTGTTCTTTCAGTTCTGCCCTTTCCCACCCCCAGACTGCATTCTTTTTAGGAGAAAAAAAATTGCTTTAAAGCTATTTTCATTTGGTTAAAAAAAAGAGTGGGAGAGTGATGTTGGGTGATGGCCTCCAAAAGTCCCACATTTTCTCACTTGTAGGGAGTGTTACACACTTCACTCAAAGCAATCTTAGTGTCTTCTGGGGCCTAGCACATAACACAATCCTAAATAAGCTCATCAGTGTGTCTGAGAATACATAAATCTTCTGACTAGGCCAGTCTTCTAAACAAGAGAGCTATAGACTTTCACTTTCATCAGTTAGCAAGGCACAGGAGCCCTCAGAAGCCAGCTACACAGAAAAGGTTGAGTGGTAATCACAAGTATGTCATGGATGTCTGTCAGATAGGAGGCATGTACACTGACAAAGTGAGTGACATACAAAGAACATTACAAAATATACAAATGGACAACAGCGTCTTTAAATGAACTAGGTGTTAGAGGTGTTAGACCAAGTCAAAAGTGGCTGAACTCAGCGTCCAGCAATTAGTGTGAAACCTTTTCACTGACTGTATTGATGAATTCAACAACTCACCTGTCAGCAATGAGCGAACTTTTAAGAAAGTTCCCACTTTTAAGAAAGTGGGAAAAATAATAAAACAATGTCATAACACAGGGTCTATAGTGTGATATGCCCTGATAGTTAAGATGTAAGTTTGTTATCTGAGTATAAAAATTTTAAGATCCACATATCTTAAATCAAGAGTAAATCAAGAGACTGGGAAATTTGGGAACAGGCAAAATTCCAGAGAAATTCATATCAATGTAACTTCTGAAAAATAGTACTAGGATATGACTAAAATGTATTTTTTTCTTCCATTTTTATTGAGATACAATTGATATACAGTACTGTGTAAGGTTAAGATGAACAATCTTAACTGAACAGTTAAGTTCACGTATGATGACAGTCATTAAGATGGCTGAAATTTAGTAAGCAGAAAGCAAATAAACTGTATGATTCTGTGTTTAGACAAAGATCATGTGCAGTGAAGGGGCTTATTCAAACAGGAGTATATGAAAAGAAGAGTCAGAGGAAAGTGTTGAGAGTTCCCACCCAAGCACTGTCTGGAGGAGAGGGAGTCTTGGCTAAGATGCGTGGAAAAATTACTTTCTTTGGCAGAACCATCCCCATGATATGTAAGTGTACTTCAAGTTTCTCAGCTGAAAGTCACTTCTTAAAGTGCACCAATGCCCTTGTTCTGTGATTTCAGGCTTACCATGCAACCTTCTGAAGTTATGGCTTCCCAAGTAGTAGAATGGGAATGGGGAGAGAAGGGGCTGGTAAAACTAACAGAAACCTCTAGTACCCCTGACGGTTGTATTTCTCAGGATAAATTTTTCAGTTGTCATTTCCTTGTGAGACTTAGCTTCCCTGTGGCCTTCTTACAGGGAGGGAATGCAGAGATCCATGGGTTTGGGCATTCAGATACAGATTTATATATGTCTCTCTGAATGAGAGTCTTTACTTGACACAGGCATCTGTTCTCACTATACAGACAAATTCAGGTATTGATCATGAAGGGATGAGCACAATACTTTGTACTGTAGATGCGACTGCATAGAATCCTGTCAAGGAAGTCAGGTAGCTTTGGCCTAGAAGACAGCCTTGTGCACCACCATTTCAGAACTGCACCTCTCTAATATTCAGTGACAACTAAAGCATACTGTGGCAAATATACCCCCAGCACCTCAGTCACAGCTGGACAAAAGATGCATATCCAAAATAGTTAAAGTGCTCCTGCAAATCAACAATAACCTCTGAAACAGTTTACAGTTCTCTCTGGGAAAAGAAAGGATGTGCATTTCACATTTTACATGCTCTGTCATTTTCCACAGCAAAAGGGTGGGCATTGTGCCCCAAAAAAACCAACTCAATACTTACTCTTACTGAAATTTAAACCTGAACAAAGATAGAAAACCAAACATCAGTGGAAGTTTATGGCATCCTGAAGAGACCATCTGTCAGTTCCTCCTACTTTGACACCTCAGAGCTGATGCTGGTCTTTGACATTCCCTCACTAAGTTAAACAGATGTGGTTTCTGTTGCTTGCAATCAAATAAAATTAACTAATACACAACACAAAAACAACATGATACAAAAAGTAATACAGCTTTTAAAGATAACAATTTTCTATCATTTATTTTTCTTACCCTCCAAAATTCCATCAGTGTTACCATCTGCTGATCCTTTTATGTTTTTGAATACTTTATAAATCATGCATCATATATGACCATAAACTGATTTGAGCCAAAAGGTTCCTTTTGACAGTGAACTCACATAGTCTTTTGAAAACTTGTCTGAGGGATTGCTTAAGGATTTTCCCTTTTTGCTTTTGAAATGGTATGTCAGGCAAATAGCATGTCCTTAAATAAATATTTGTTAGTGGGTGTATAATGGAGGGAAAATAGATTTTAAATGTCAGTCCCCAGGTTCCTTGGTAGGAATTGTGGATCAAAATGACACAGAGAGAGAGAAAAAAAAATGACACAGAGAATTCAAAAGATTATCATTCCCATGGGATTTAGGAAGTTTAAGAGAGGGAGTGGATCCAAATAGGAAAGATCTGACAGCCTGGGAGAATGGTGGTCAGGGGTTATACATTGGAAAAATTGAAAAATATACTGAAGGGGAAAGATAGTTTTAACAAATGAGGAGAGGTAAGAGTGGAGTTTTTGTCCCTGAAGCATGGCTAAGTAAGAGTTGTGAAATGAGTCCTTGTTGTAGAGCCACGTCAATGACACCTGTCTTTCTTAAGTTTTACATGCTCTGCAGTTCTTTCTAATGTACAGATAAAAGCCACTTTTTAAGTTCTTAGCAGCCAAAAGTTGAATGATAGTTAAATCTGCAAGTTCTGTTAGTAAGGCTTCATAAATATAAATCACTTCCCTTGGAGAAGTAAAATAAAGGATGATAAAAAGAACAGTGTAAGGAGATGATGGCAAAACAAATGAGTTAGGGGTTTAGAGAGATGAGTTGTAATGTTGGTGTGTTTGAACTATAAATGTTTAAGGAAGACCAGAAAGTTGTGACGTGTTCTTGACTTGTGAATTTTTCACCAGCAAGGCACTCTGGGCTTCCTGGTTCACCTCCTGAAAGGGCCTCCCCCACACAGGGGCCCCTCACCCAGGGAGTTTCCTGCTGGAGTGTCACATTTCAATGTTCTAAGAAAGAGGCTGCCTGAAGGGTTTATATTTAGAGCATGACTCCCCAGCGGGGACAGCTGGATGTCTGGGAACTAAGTTCTGCAGACTTTGTCACTACCTTCTGGGATTATTCTGAGGGATTTGTATAGATGGTACAATGAAATTGTAACAGAAGGGAGAGGGTGAAAAGACCTTTTTTTTCCTGGCAACACTGCTTGGGGTCCTATGAACTGTGCCTTTTGTGAGGGAAAAAGGACGTGGATCTCAAGGGCTGTCAGGTTGTTGCAGCGATTTACAGTCACCCACAGACCCTCACCATTATTTCCACTGGAAAAGGCTCAACACCAGGCACTGCTAAGGGGACATACAGTGCACAAATGACAAATACCGCAGGTCTTTCACCAGTGTCTTGATCAAATGAAAATTCCACCTATTATTTTCATCAATGGGCTAGCAAGGAATTCTCTAATTTCTGGATGATTTATGGATTACACCATGAAACTTGAGAATAGATTTTAAATAAAGAGCTTTGAATGAAGAGCAAGCTAATCTGTGAAGTTACTAATTTGTAAGACATAAGATTCATTGGAATTTAGGGTCTGCAGAGAGTCTGTCCTTCAAAATCAGAATGGAAGCCATCCAGCAGTCTTCTCTAACAAGTAACAGTTCAGCCAAGAAGAAAGGGATAGTGGTTCACTTCTCTAAACTGGTAACAATTAAAACACTGACCAATTTACTATAGATTCGTTTTATCCATCAATTTATAAATCATATTGAAAGCACACTGGCTTTGTTTGTAAGGGTATGTTTTTAAAGTTTCATATGCTATTTGAAAGCTGCTATCTCCTCTGCAGTCAGAAGAAAATATTTTCAATGTACAAATTAGCTTAAATTGATGAGGCCTTCATATTAACTAGGAAATCTTGTTTTATACACACACACACATATATTTGTATTTTCTGACTACAAAATAGTAACTTGAGTCAATTAAGAAATAATGGAAGAAATAGAATATAAATATATTAAAAATAGTAAAAAAAAAAAAACCTCCCTGTTACTTGGGCTTTTTTTCCCTGCCCCTCTGCTTAATTTTGATGCAGAGACTGCATGTGGGAGGGGGTAGAAATGAAGAAAGAGGGGACAGGAGTTTCAGAGCCAAAGAAACGGTAAGACATTCCCCTCAAAAGAAGTGTAAGTAAATGATAGACCTAGGAAAAGTGTTGCCCTTTTCTGTAATTAGAGAAAGCCAAATGCAAACACCAGAGAGCCACGGTCACTTCTGGCTTCTGGTATTGTTACACAGGAAAAGAGTGACAAGGCCCCTTGTGATGGGGGGAGGTACGGGGCAGGCTGGCGCCTGCCGCACTGCTTGTGAGAGTGGAATTGGGGGCCAGAGCTCAGTGGTGACGCGGTCGTCACGTGACCAGAGCTGCCTAGAGCAGAAGTACTGCTAGTCGCCTCCGTCTGGGTACCAGCCCCCCTTATCACTCTGCTGGCGCAAAAGGAAGAAGGAAAGTAGCCACGGGCATTGCAGGTCGGTATGAGCGTGGGCTTTGCTTGGAGGGAGATGGGGCTTGGAGAAGGCCAAAAGCGCCACGGATCCAGGTTCCGGCAGGCAGGGGTCTGTGTCCCCTTCTCGCCTACTTTCTAAATACTGCCGTCCCCCTCCTCATGCCCATTTTCGTGGAAAGAATTGGCGGACTTCGGGTGGCGGGTGAGGGAAGTGAATGGCTGGTACAGAGACTCCGAGGAAAGAAAGGTTCTAGGATCAGGGCACTCGTGTCCCGAGTGCTGCTACGTCCACCAAGCACTCCGTTCCCTCTGTCTCCCTCCCCCACCCCCCACCGTCTGTCTGCAGGTTTGTAGATCTGTTGGCCTGTAGGTCGCCAGGGAAAGTCGCGGCGACGGAAGGACCAAAGTGCCTTGGGACCGTGCAGGTCAGTGTGAAGGTGGGATGAAGCTTGGCCCCTGGGTGGGGGTGGCGGTGGGGATGAGGGAGGGGGGCTGGGATCGCTGCGGGCGGGGTCTGAGCCGCCCTCTCCAGGCCCCTTCCTCCATACCCCCTCCCATTTCGGCTCAGGGAAAGGGGTGTGGCGGCTTTTGCTGGGGAAATGGCGGACGGCACGGGGGGAGGGGTGGGGAAACCAGTGTTAGTAAAGTCAGGAGGGTGTGAGAAATATTTTAAGCTCAAAGGCTGGAAATTCAGAAAAGGGACCTGTGTTCTCATTGCTGATCCATCCACTACACTTTAGTTTTCCAAAGCCGGCTATCTGTCGTTCCCTCTGTCCTTCTGCCAGACTGCCCATCAATCACTGTGGGAGGACCACTGACCACAGAAGACAAGAGAAGAAGGAATTTACTGGCTTTGGTAGAGGTTGGTAGGTGAGACTGCCTCTAAGTCTTTGGGGCTGGGGGTGTGGTGGAGGAGGAGACTACCGGTCACCCTCCTGGCCGTTATAGCCCAGTCCCAACTCCTGCCCTTCTCTGTAGGCCCTGGGAGACAAATGGTGGGTCCTGAAGGGAGACAGAGGATGACAGAAAAGAACAAAGAACTGGTGGCCAAATAATCCCCCTCTCTCAGCCAGAACTCAAACTCCACTCTGTCTGTCTCGTGAGGCAAAAATCCAGGTATTGCCAAAAGCCCTAATATAATTTTTCACCCATAGATTCATCACAGGAGAGCCTCAGGAGCCTGGAATAGGCTGAAGCTGACTCCCCTCCACCATCACTCACCCTGGCCTTAAGAACCCTCTTCTTTCAGGTGAAACAAGACCCTCTCCTGTTCTGTCCTACTGCACCCCACCACCCCTCCCCGCCCCCAGCTGAACAGACCTGAACATGGGCCGGGCTCGGGAAGTGGGTTGGATGGCCGCAGGACTGATGATTGGGGCTGGTGCCTGCTACTGCGTTTACAAACTAACCATAGGAAGAGATGACAGTGAGAAGTTGGAGGAGGAGGAAGAGGAATGGGATGATGAGCAGGAACTGGATGACGAAGAATGCGAGATTTGGTTTGATTTGACAACTATGGCACGGCCCTGGAGTGAGGACGGGGACTGGACTGAACCTGGGGAACCCGGTGGTGCCGAGGACAGACCTTCAGGTGGGGGCAAAGCCAGTCGAACATACCTGATAAAACAGCGCCCGTTCCCTTATGAACGCAAAAATACTTGGAGTGCTCAGAGCTTTAAAAAGTTCAGTTGTGCTCTTGGCCTCTCCAAGGGCCCTTTCATTCAGGGAAAAGTGTTGTTAGCTGAGCCCAAGGATGCCAGTTTTTCACTTAGCCGTGATATCAACAGTGATTTGGCCAGCCTCTCCATTGCTGGAAACACAATCCCGACTCCCGACCCTGCTGTTGAGGAGGGAAAGGCTTTGTGTGCCCCGGATAACTTGAATGCCAGTGTTGAAAATCAGGGCCAGATGAAGATGTGCATCAGCCAAGTGTGTCGGGAGACTGTGTCACTTTGCTGCAGCTCATTTCTGCAGCAGGCTGGAGTAAATTTGTTAATAAGCATGACAGTTATTAATAACATGCTTGCCAAGTCCGTTTCAGGCTTGATGTTTCCTTTGATACCAGAGGGAAGTGAATGTGCTGAGGGGCAGGTTGTGAAACCCCTGACGGGTTTGTCTGAAAAGCCAGCCTTGTCAGGGGAGTTGCTGAGAGCCCAAGCGCTATGCCCCTTCCTGCCCCTCTTTATCAGGAACACAAACAGACAGCTTCTCTCAGAAACCCTGGCCTCTTAAGTGGCCCCTCCAACAGGGTGGGACTGATCCACTCCAAAACAAAGCCCAGTCAGTGGGTGAACACACACTTGTGTTCTCAAAGACTCTGCAGTGGGTGCTATCGAAGACCCAGCCTTAGCTGGATCAGCACATCTCTGGGTGAAAGTTGCACTTGCTAAATCCAGGACCACACTCTTAACTGTGCAGGGGTTCCCACAGAGCTTTGAGTAACCTCTTGGTTTTTCAGTCTGCAGGCAATGTGCATTGTAAATTGCTCCCTTGCAGCCTTCTTCCTGTGGTAAAGAGGTCCTTTCAGCTGCCAGCTGTGGTTAAAGAACAACATGTTCTAGCCTCAGTGGGGATGCCTGGCCTGTGGTGGTCTCTGTGTCTAAGCTGGACCATGTTGGGGAGACCAGACCCATATGGGGGCTTGTGCCAAAAATGTATCAGTTGCTGCTTAGATGGGATTCTTTCCCTTTACTCTCTTTTCTTTGCAAGCCTATGAACGATACTTATTGAGCAAAAAAGTACACTCCTCTTCTATGTGCTGTACTGACTTAACCTCGTCCACCAAGTCTGCATTTTTATGTATCATCAATAAAGCTGTGTGCTTTAACTGGCAAAAATGAGACACGGTACTTGTTTCTGAATCTCTAGTCTGCGTGAGGGGAAAGACCAAAATACGTGATCTGTGCTAACTGACTGGGGGCATTTGCTCCTGACAGATGCCCACTTAGCAGTGCCCACAGGAGGCTGGGGAAGAGATGGGCTGCAGGGTTCAGGAGGAGCCTCCAGAAGGGGCTGGGGCAGGGAAGGGGGTGAGGGGTAGGATTAAGAAGGACTTTTGGGAGGACTAGAAGAGGCAACACCTTGAAGCAGGCAGCACAGTGCCTGATGCAGAGAAATCCTTCCCTCGATGAAGGTGTCTTTCCTCACCTACTGGCCTAGAGAGGAAGGTCAGTACCCTTGGGTTGGTCTGTGCGTCCCTGTCGTCCCACTGGGCAACCCATCCCTGACATTTAATGCACAATTATAGCAGTAACAGTTGCTACTCGCTGAGGGCCTGCTTGGTGTTGTTCTCTCTCCTGAGAAGCAGCTGTGCAACCTACTTGCAGGCCTCCTCCCTTCCTTGGGAGACCAAGCCCAAATTCCTGGCCGAGCGAGAAGGCTTGGCCCTTGCTTCCTCTGGGGAACCTCTTTTCTGCCCTCTCCGGGTACTTCTGTGGGATCCAGGAAGGAGACAATGGAGACGTCCACGGATCCCCGAGGGGGTGGGAGGGCAGATGCTGAGGGGCGTGGCATGGCCACGGCCGGTCCACCCAGAAGGACACATGTTCATGCCGTCCATGCAAGCTTCCCTGGGAGGAAAGGAAGAATGTGGCTCTGCACACTGAAAGCTCCATGAATCTGTGCAACTCATTCCACCGCCCCTGCCCACATTTCCAGACCCCTCCCAGCAAGCCTCAGCCCCGGGTCAGCAGGTTCCCTGGGTGTTTTGATGTGTCATGAAGTGGTCCTCCTCCTCAAAGGCCAGGCTCACGTAGGGGACAAGAAGCTTCCTTTGAGCAGTGCTTCCTGTGAGCCCAGTGCCTTCTCCTGGTCCCCCTGGGGTGTGGCTCTGGGACACTGTGCCCTGGTCATCAGTGATGTCCCCGTGTACTGCCTTCTGAATGCCCTTGACCGTGCAGAGCACAGTTTTATTTCAGTGTTTCCCTCCCTTCTCCTGGAGACTGGGGCAGGGGGGTGCAGGTGGGGTGCCACTCTCCTGCTTGTACTCATTCCCCCACACAGTTTGGGCTGCCTAGTGATCATGGGGGCCTGCTAGAACTCTGCCCCTTCCTGGGCCCTGGTGCCTTGCTGGCCAGCATGTGACTGTGGTTGCTGTGACACCACAGCCCCAGCAAGGTTCACCAGGCTGGGGCTTCGTTTGCTGGCTCTGGGGCCCTGTTTTCTAAGAGCTACTTGCCTGATCCTCCCTTTGTGGGAGCCCAGCTGAGCCAGCCTCAGGTGGGCGGGGCAGTCTGTTTCCCAGGCAGGACTGCCCTCAGGCAGCCCCTCATCCACTTGTCCAGTGGAGCCTGCTGGCCAGGGGCATCTTCAGCAACACCTTATTGCTCAGCCTCAGTGATCTCTGCCCTAACCACAGCATTTCTGCTTGCTCCTGGCTTGGCGTCCCAAATGACCACGTGCTTCCTTCCTCCTCTGCACTCTGCAGAGTCCCCGCTTGAGTCCCGCCACAGGCAGTGCTCCACCACCTCCGAGGCAGGCACTAGGCCCTCTCAGACCACAACTCACTCCGATCTCAGGCAGGGCCTGGGAGGCCTCTGCCCACCTCCTGAGCACCTTTGTCACTGGACAGCCTGCCAGCCCTGAAGTGTCTCCATGGTGGGGTCTTGGCCCAAGTCACGACCCCTCTCCATGAGCTGGCACTGCCCTCCCTGAAACACTCCCTGTGTGGGGAAGCTCCGGGCCCTGGCTGGCCTCAGTTGCCCTTGGCCGGCTGCTGTGCCAGGGCAGGAGCCCAGTTCCCCGTAGGTTCTGCCTTCAGATGTGGAGGGACCTGGAGCGAGAGGCATGCCTGCAGTCAGGGCCTGAGGAACACAGTCAGAGGCTTTCAGCACTGGAAAGACTAAGGAGCCTGCCACCCCTGCCATGCTTAATTCAAAAATGAGACAGCAGGGGACCACCCAGCACAAACTTAGGCCCACCTGTCTGCTACAATCCACCGAGTTTCTTGCTGGGTTTCCCTGTGGCAAACATTAGCCCGGGTTCTCAAAGCTTGAGCTTATCACACTCTGTGGGGGGTGCCTGCCCTGATGGGACTGCCCCAGCCAAAGCTGCGTCTTGGGTAAGTCTGGAAGTGCCTCCACACACTGTCTTCCAGCCGCTCCAGAAGGAGCCCTGCTTTCCCTTCTTCATCATTATCTTGTCTACATTTGTGCCTGTAGGTACGAACTTGTACACCAACTTCCAGTACCCTCCCAGCCTGCTTCCTGTCCTGGGAACTTTGTTATATGACCCCCTCCCACCCCACCCCTCCCTGACATAAGCCCAGGTTGGGTGGCTTGCAGGCATCCAGCTTCCTGCCTGGTACACCCCCTGCATCTCCCAGACTGCATCCCCGTGGGGCCCTTCGTGCCACGCTTGGGGCAGTTCCAACCACAGTGCCCTCTCTTTGAAGTGTCACTGGGGACAGGCACAGCCCTCACCAAGTCAATCTCCCTGCTGGACCACCACAGCACTTTTGGTTAAGAGTCTGACAGCGGTGTGGAGCACTGGCCCCCGCCTCTCTCCTGGGGCAGTACTTGGTCTAAGATGGGATGGGCACTGTAGCACAGCCCTGCCGGGCATCGGCCAGTCCCTTGTCTGATCCTCATGCCACATGCATCACCTCACTCTGTCTCACACACACACACACACACACACACACACACACACACACACACCCTTCACTTTGCTCAGGCCCTCCTCTTCCCCAGAAGGCTCATTCTCCCTTATTGCTTCTTGCTTTTGTGTGTGGCTTGGGATGGCCTTCCCCATTTCCCCTTTACAAAAGGAGTCTCCTCTGTGGCTTCCTAATTCTTTCTTACCTTTCCACTTCAAGGCTTGTCTCAAGGATATACCTGGAATTTCCCTTTGTGCAAGGTGGGAGCTGTCATCCAAACTGACTCCTTTTCCAAGCAGATAACCTGTCAACACGGCACCACTCATCACTCCATTCTCATGATACAGTTGGTGCCTCTGGGACCTCATGCCCTCAGCTGAGCAGCCCCTCTGTGGCTTCCTAATTCTTTCTTACCTTTCCACTTCAAGGCTTGTCTCAAGGATATACCTGGAATTCCCCTTTGTGCAAGGTGGGAGCTGTCATCCAAACTGACTCCTTTTCCAAGCAGATAACCTGTCAACACGGCACCACTTATCACTCCATTCTCATGATACAGTTGGTGCCTCTGGGACCTCATGCCCCCAGCTGAGCAGCCCCTCTGTGGCTTCCTGCTGTGGAATTCCTCTTGGGGCACACCCCTTTCTCCCAGGAACCCCTCACTGACTCAGGGACCCTCTGGGTTACTGGGTCGTCCGTGGCAAGTGGGGTGTGTGTGTTGTCAGGGAGGGTGTGCTGGTGCTTGTGAGCAGGTATCAGGTATCCTCTGATACCATCTCAGGATGCATTCTGGTCCGCAGGAAAGTTAGGAACCCCCTGCCCTGCCTGCTTTAGCGCCAAGCAAAATGGGACTGGTTTATTCCCTCACCAAAACTGCCTTATTTTGCAAGAGAAAGCAAGTTTATTTTCTATATATAGACTTGCTCTACAATTTACACTGTAGTCATTGTCCACATTTGAAATAAGGCTATTGTTACATGTTGAAATCACCATGGTTTCTTTCAACACTTCCCTTGATTTTCCTTTTGTGTGATGTATTTGGTCATTCAGGAATTTATGATTTCTGTGCCTTTCAGTGTTTTTCTGTTGAACTCTATATTTTTCTTTTACTCAGGACAGTCTTTGACAGCCCAAGGTTATTAGAAGACATTGACTGTATTTCCTTCTAATACCAATAGTTTGCTTTCAAAGTAAGCTGCTTTGTTAACCTACTAGTTGTTTGTGTTTGTGTGCATGTGTGTGTAAGTCAACACGGCACCACTCATCACTCCATTCTCATGATACAGTTGGTGCCTCTGGGACCTCATGCCCTCAGCTGAGCAGCCCCTCTGTGGCTTCCTGCTGTGGAATTCCTCTTGGGGCACACCCCTTTCTCCCAGGAACCCCTCACTGACTCAGGGACCCTCTGGGTTACTGGGTCGTCCGTGGCAAGTGGGGTGTGTGTGTTGTCAGGGAGGGTGTGCTGGTGCTTGTGAGCAGGTATCAGGTATCCTCTGATACCATCTCAGGATGCATTCTGGTCCGCAGGAAAGTTAGGAACCCCCTGCCCTGCCTGCTTTAGCGCCAAGCAAAATGGGACTGGTTTATTCCCTCACCAAAACTGCCTTATTTTGCAAGAGAAAGCAAGTTTATTTTCTATATATAGACTTGCTCTACAATTTACACTGTAGTCATTGTCCACATTTGAAATAAGGCTATTGTTACATGTTGAAATCACCATGGTTTCTTTCAACACTTCCCTTGATTTTCCTTTTGTGTGATGTATTTGGTCATTCAGGAATTTATGATTTCTGTGCCTTTCAGTGTTTTTCTGTTGAACTCTATATTTTTCTTTTACTCAGGACAGTCTTTGACAGCCCAAGGTTATTAGAAGACATTGACTGTATTTCCTTCTAATACCAATAGTTTGCTTTCAAAGTAAGCTGCTTTGTTAACCTACTAGTTGTTTGTGTTTGTGTGCATGTGTGTGTAAAAACTGCCTTATTTTGCGAGAGAAAACATGTTGAAGCATACTGTGTTTTTTGTACTTTTATAAACATATTATATATTCTATCATTTATGATTTTGTTTTCTTATATGGTAAAAATTATCTTTCAGAATGTGTAGTCATACAGAAGTAAAGGCAAAACACTTTTTGCCTCTTTGTGCATATGTTGTGTTTGCATGGGAAAAATTCAATAAAAGACTCATTTTTATGTCTTTTGTAGCTTTTGAATTTTGTACATATATATATATTTCCATCAAAAG